GCTTGTCTGGGGCACAGATGAGGATCTCAGTCTTATCTTCATTCAGCTGAAGAAAGCTCCCACCATCCAGGTTTTGATAGAGTCTAAGCAGGTGTGGAACAGCTGCAGCTTAGACATCTCATGGGGCTTAAAGGAGATGTACAGTTGGATGTCATCTGCATAAAGATGGTAGGAGATTCCTTTGAAGGAGCTCAGAATGTGCTGAAGAGGAAGCAGATAGAGGAGGAAGAGTAGAGGCCCCAGCACAGAACCTTGTGTGACACCATGTGTGAGGGATGTGGTGGAGGATCTAAACTATCATGGACATAATGTTCATCAAGAGCACCTGTAAGTTGTTTAGCCACAACCTTTTCCAAGATCTTGGAGATGATCGGAAGTTTAGAAGTGGGTCTGAGGCTGCTATGGAGAGAAGGTAAATACTCTGGGTATTCAGCCGAGGAGGAGCTGAGGTTCTGGTCGTTCTAAAATGGACCATCATGCTGGTCAGGAACCCAGTCAGGTGGTTCTGTCCTATAACCGAACCAAACTAAACTGGGTTTTAACTACAGTACAAGCTGGTTTCTGTACAGACACCCTCACCAGGTAAACCCTGTATGAGATCACCAGAACCCTTGACTGTGTTTCATGCTGGGGGCCCCTCCTCCTTTGGGCAGGCTGCCTACAGGGCCCTACTTGGCCCCGGCCCCCCCCCCAGGCCTCAGACCCTGGGCCCCGCCCAGCAGTGAGCAGCATGGGGCCCAGAGGTCCAAGGCTCTGTCCGTCACACTATCGCTGTCCCTTCCGTTCCCATTGTTTGTGTCCAGGAGCTTCCGCGATGCCCTGCGACCCTCTTGAAGAAAACAGGTTGTGTGTGAGCGCCGCCGGGGCTGCTGGGTATTTATGGAAGCAAAAGCCACTGAATCACTTCCCCCTTCACCCTGCAGCACGCTGTGTGTGTGTGTGTGTGTGTGTGTGTGTGTGTGTGTCTATTTCTGGCAGCAGCAGTGTGCTGGTGAGACTGGAAACCAGCAACAACATCCGCTCCCAGTTGAATTTTTTCACTTTACAGGATGTCAAACTGGTTTCTCTTTGGAGGCCGACCCAGACCTGAAACCAACTGGTTTGTTTTGATCCAGTCTCGGGGGTGCCACTGTCGGGAGTTCTCGTCTGGATCGGGTTCTGAGTCGGGTCCATGGTGCTGGACCCTGTCGTGCCTTCTGCTGACCTGGCGTTAACGTCTTATCGGCGTTAGCTCATTAAAAGACTCATGACGAAAATGAACCTTCACAGAACCGTTGAAACGGGCGGGTCGGATCACCTGAAGGAACATGTAATGATTAATGTGCTTCCTGTCGATCATTACCCGGTTCTGGGCCTGGTTCCGGGTTGCTGGATGCCTCCAGCCTGTTAATGTTTAAAGACTTTATGGTTCTTCGTGTTCTCTGTTTTAGGAAACCAGCTGGTTTCATAACTGGATGAAACCACCCACCCAAATGTGATTGGACAGTGTGTCAGGGTTTGGGGCTGAATTCCATGGCTGCTGTTGCCATGGTTACCGTCAACTGATTACCTAAAAATTCAGTGGGGTAGTGCTTGGTAGCAAATGACCAGAATCGGTCCGAGGAGGAAGCGTTGCCACCGTGACTGTTTTGTTGCACCGTGTTTCTTTTATCTCAGCGGCTCATAAATTGTGACTTCTGCTCTCGGAGAGGGCGGAGCTTCCGAAGTGAGATAATGTGCCTTAATAAAGCTCTACATCAGAAGGTGACTCTAATGGGTGTGTTTGATTTAAAGAAATGTGTCTGGTTGCGTCGCATGGAAAACCATAAACAGTCTTGTTGTGGGACTGCAGTTGATCTCCAACTGCTCCCAGAGTTACTCGCCTTTCTCCACTTCATCAGCAAAACTAAAAGGAGCTTTCCAGACTGGTTCTAGGTTTCTTCAAGCCTGGTTCTGGCTTTCAGATACTTCTATACTGGCTGTAGATGTCAGACACTGAGACTCGGAGTCTGAGATCCTTTGAGAATCCTCGCTGTTGCTGGCGGTTTGTTGTGGCCCAAACACATCCTGGGTTTACGATGCTCCTTTCAAAACAGCCCGATTCAACACGGCTCAAATCTATTTTGCTCGATGGACGGCCTCTCTGGGGGAAAGCAGTGCGCTACCAACACTGGGGACGGTGTGCTGCTGACCTCTACTCAGAACGTTGTGGTTCGGTGGGCAGAATACTTCGAAGATCTACCCAATCTAACCAGAACGTCTTCCAGTGAGGAAGCAGAGTCTGGGGAATTTGGGTTGGACTCTCCAATCTCTGGGGCTGAGGTCACTGAGGCGGTCAAAAAGCTCCTCGTTGGCAAGGCTCCGGAGGTGGATTAGATCTGCCCGGATTTCCTTAAGGCTCTCGATGTTGTTGGGCTGTGTTGGCATGGAAATGGGGGCAGTCCCACTGGACTGGCAGACCGGGGTGGTAGTCCCCCTATTTAAAAAGGGGGACCACATGGTGTGTTCCAACTACAAAGGTATTACACTTGTGAGCCTACCTGGTAAGGTCTATTCAGAGGTTCTGCAGAGGAGGATTCGTTGGATTGTCGAACCTCAGATTCGGGGGGTGGGGGGGTGGGGGGGATATGTAGTTTTCAACCTGGCCGTGGAAGACTGGACCAGCTCTTTACCCTTAGGGGGATCCTGGAGGGTACGTGGGAGTTTGCCCAACCAATCTACATGTGTTTTGTGGATTTAGAGAAGGCGTTCAACAGCATCCCTCAGGCGGCCTTGTGGGGGCCCTGTAGGGGGTACTTTGGGAGTATGGGGTACCAGGCCCTCTGATAAGGGCTGCTAGGGCAGCAGTAGCTCAGGTGGTAGAGCGGGTTGCCTCATGATCGGAGGGTCATGAGTTCGATTCCAGCTCCCGCCAGGGGTGTCCTGCTGTTGTGTCCTTGGGCAAGACACTTCACCCAACTTGCCTGTGTTAGTGATGGTCAGAGGGGCCGACGGCGCCAAATGGCAGCCTAGCCTCTGTCAGACCTCCCCAGGGCGGCTGTGGCTACAAGTAGCTTACCATCACTAGCAGTGTGTGAATGTGAGAGTGTGTGAAAGCGTCTTTGGGTGTCTAGAAAAGCGCTTTATAAGTTCAATGCATTATTATTATTATTATATGACCGGTGTCAGAGCTTGGTCCGCATTGCGGGTAAGGGTAGAAGGCCTTCTCCAGGTCAGGGATGAGGTCCTGCCCCAAGTGGAGGAGTTTGTTCACAAGTGAGGGAAAGATGGAACGTGAGCTTGATAGGCAGATTGGTGCTGGATCTGCAGCGATGCGGGCGTTGCACCGATCTGTCGTGGTTGTTACGATCCAGGCTGTCTAGGAGACCTGGGGTAACAATTGAGGACGCACGTTCTCATGTTAAAATGAACAAAACAACATTTATTTACATAAATATAACACAAAACACAGATTATCAAAGCACAGACACATCAGCAGCAACTCAAAGCTAGTAACAACAACTAAAGTCTCTCATTAACCAAATCAATACTAAAACTTCGAAAGGCCATCGCACAATTCCCTTAACCGAGTCATGTCTTATTTAAAGCAAAGTGTAAAGTTTCCTTTACACTTAAAAAGGTTACAGTTAAACACAGAGAGGTTTTCTAAGCACCCAGAAAAGTTGTTACATAAAACTTAAACAAAACCAGATGCTGCTGAGGAGACATCAGCTGCTCTCTGAACTGAGGGCTGGCTGATTTTTATGTTGCTGGCAGAGCTGAGCTGGGAGGGTCTGAGAGGCAATCTAGTGGGATGGGAGACAGGTGCTGCCTCTTCTCACTCACACACACACACACAGGGAAAAACACGAATAGCCCTGGGCCATAACAGTAGTCAAGAGAGAGCTGAGCCAGAAGGCGAAGCTCTCGATTTACCGGTCGATCTACGTTCCTACCCTCACCTATGACCACGAGCTTTGGGTAGTGACCGAAAGAACGAGGTCATGGATACAAGCGGCTGAAATTAGTTTTCTCCGCTGGGTGTTCCGGCTTTCCCTTAGAGATAGGGTAAGAAGCTCGGTCGTCCGGGAGGGGCTCGGAGTAGAGCCGCTGCTCCTCCACATTGAGAGGAGCCAGTAGAGGTGGCTCGGGCATCTGATTAAAATGCCTTCTGGACGCCTCCCTGGTGAGGTTTTCCAGGCACGTCCACCCGGTGGGATACCTAAAGGGAGACCCAGGGAGGGACTACGTCTTTTGCCTGGCCAGGGAACACCTTGGGGTTCCCCTGGAAGAGCTGGCCCAAGTGGCTGGGGAGAGGGGAGTCAGGGCCTCTTGACTTCAGCTGCTGCCCCGGCGACCTGACTCTGGATTAGCGGAATTGAATGGATAGATGGATGGCCTCTCTATCATAAGGGTACATGTTTGCCAAAGACTTTTCAGTTCCTGCTTTGACGTGGTTCCAAGTGTCCAGGTATGAAAGCGCTACATCAGACAGTGACCCACGGCCACTGGTTAGGTGGGTGGAGTCACTGCCCACAGCCTTTTCTGGGTTCTGAGAATGACCAAAAGCCAGCGACTGAGCAGAGCGTTCATGTCTGTATGGCACCCCTCTCCCTCGATAAGTCCACTAGGGCATTTCGATTGAGCCACGACCGTATGGAACACAGTCCTAATTAAACCTACTGTCCTGATTTGTCTCCCGGGGTTCTCATTGCAGCCCAGGTCCAACTTACTGATGTCTCTGTTAACCCTTTGTCAGACTCTAGTCCAGGAAAGACTTGGACTTGTTAAGCTGGTCTGAGAAATGGGTTGGAGAGGACAGTGAGAGGACAGACTCCTTGAGCATGGTCCCACCGCTCAGACAGAAGACAGGTCCTTTAGGCTCAACTGTCGGCTCAAGTCAAAAGAGCTTTGGTGTAGTTTTGACCAATCAGTGTCAGCTGGTCTAACATACTGCAGCGGGACCCCTAACTGGATCAGCTGGTCTTTGAGACTGTCTTATGATTGGTTTATTAATTAATCTTTCCCTCTTTTATCCCCAGGTGTCCCCCACCCCCACTCCCTCCCCCTTGCCCCTCCCTCAGAGCCATCATGCCCATCCTCAAGAACCTCCCGGTGCGCTTGAAAGGCGGCGGTCCAACTCTAGACAACGCCCTGTTCATCCGCAGGATGAGTCTCAACATCACCCCTCACCACAACCCCTTTGAACATGATGATGAAGACCGTATCCACAGCAACGGTAGTCACAGTGACCACTGGTCACCCGGAAGCTCTTTATTGGACGGCGATGTGCCGAGGGACCGCAACCCCTTTAGGGACGAGGAGGGTGAGAACGAAGCCAACGAGGGTAAAAAGGGAAGCGGCAGAGGAGCAGGGGGGGTGAAGGGGTCATTCAAGTTCAAGTCTCCCCTGAAGAGTCTGGGAAAACTGGGGAAGAACCTGAGGGTCTCAGGAAGGAGCAAAGGGGGAGACACACCCTCCCCCCAGGGCTCATTACAGGGAACACCTTCACCTTCAGAGAAGAAGAAGAGAGGAAGGAGGAGCTCCGAGGGTAGTCTTCTCAGGTGAGCAAGAATCAGGACCAGAACTTCCGTACCATGAGCAGCAGTGGAGCCAGATTTACTTTCTGTTTCCTAAGATGTTCTGAAATTAGAGGTTACAGGTGAGTTTAGTTGTTTAGTGACAGAAGGAGGAACCTGAGCCTAACTCAGGCAGGATGAGTGGTGACCTGTTGGTTTTACAAATGAAGATGTGGGTTAGGACCTCTCCTTGTGCTCTTACCTCAGGCGAACCCGTTGTCTCCTTTAGGTTTGCTGGTAAATACCGAGACTCCCTGAGTTCCCGTAAGGAGTCGCTGGCAAACGGTGAGCTGAACTGCTCGGAGAGCGAGTGCGACTCGGCCAGCCGCCGCCTGTCCTTCATGAAGATGGTGGGTCTGGGGAAGCTGAAGAAGGAGTCCGGGGGCGACCGCTTGTCACAGGGCACTGAGGACCAGTTGGTGCAGGAGGAGGTGGTTGAGGAGGTGAAACCGCGAGAGCCGCTGTCAGGTGAGAGAGTCTGACCCAGGCCTAACAAGTCATTTCTATTAATGTATCATGTTTCTTTTAGAGGTCAGAGGTCAGATGTAGGCCTATATTAAATGAGTTTTGGACTTTAGAGGCTCTGGTGGATATCAGGGATATCCAGCCTCCATGATTGTAACCCCAACTGGCTTTAGTTGATCCAGAATCATTAGCCATGGTCTGATCTGACTGGGTTTGGTAGGAATGGTTTGGTTCTGTTGGAAGTATCAGCCAAAGCTGTGTTCTGGTTCTGCTGCTGTTTGTTTTCATATCACTGACTGATGTCAGCGGCTGTGGGTGTTTGAGACATGGCGCCGCCAATTATCAGCAGATGGACGGCAGAACCGGCTAGAGAAGGTGACCGGGCTTCTGAGACCAGCCGACGTTTCCATTTGGACTCTGGAATCTGGCTGGGAAGTGTGTGATATCATAAATATGTGGAAACTTCCTCTTGTTTATGGCAGCGAGGTTATAATGAAGGATTAGTTCCTCCACACCCTTGTTTACATGTTCGGAGCGAATCTGAGCTGACCCTCAGTTGGCAAAGATGATTAGTGCCTTACTTAAAAAACTTTCATCAGACGGAGCTGAAATCAGAGAATCAGCTGCTGTTTACATAAAACAGATTTAATGTTTCAAGATGGAAAAACTCAACCCACATGAAACTATAATTTGCTCAACCTTATCACACTCTGAGTCATTTGTATCCGACTCATTACACCTAAACTTGTTTAGCTCTGACTTGTTACACTGTCACTGGTTTAGCTCTGACTTATTACACTCTGACTCATTTAGCTCTGACTTGTTACTGTCTGACTTGTTACTCTGTAACTTGTTAAGCTCTGACTTGTTACATTCTAACTTGTTAATTTAAATTGTTAAACTCTGACTTGTTACACTCTTACTGGTTTAGCTCTGACTTGTTACTGTCTGACTTGTTACTCTGTAACTTGTTAAGCTCTGACTTGTCACACTCTGACTCATTTGGCTCTGACTTGTTACTGTCTGACTTGTTACTCTGTAACTTGTTAAGCTCTGACTTGTTACATTCTAACTTGTTAATTTAAATTGTTAAACTCTGACTTGTTACACTCTTACTGGTTTAGCTCTGACTTGTCACACTGTGACTCATTTAGCTCTGACTTGTTACTGTCTGATTCGTTTAGCTCTGACTTGTTACTCTGTAACTTGTAACCTTCTGACTTGTTAGTCTGTAACTTGTTAAGCTCTGACTTGTTACTCTGTAACTTGTTAAACTCAGACTTGTAGCTGTGACTTGTTACTCTGTAACTTGTTACATTCTGACTTACTCTGTAACTAGTTACATTCTACTTGTTACTCTGTAACTAGTTACATTCTGACATGTTACTCTGTAACTTGTTACATTCTGACATGTTACTCTGTAACTTGTTACATTTTGACTTGTTACTCTATAACTTGTTAAGCTCTGACTTGTTACTCTGATTCGTTTTGCTCTGACCTGTTACTCTGTAACTTGTTACATTCTGACTTGTTACTCTAGAACTTGTTACATTCTGACTTACTCTGTAACTAGTTACAATCTGACTTGTTACTCTGTAACTTGTTACATTCTGACTTGTTACTCTAACTTAAGCTCTGACTTGTTACTCTGATTCGTTTTGCTCTGACCTGTTACTCTGTAACTTGTTACATTCTGACTTGTTACTCTAACTTGTTAAGCTCTGACTTGTTACTCTCTGATTCGTTTAGCTCTGACTTGTTACTCTGTAACTTGTTACATTCTGACTTGTTACTCTAACTTGTTAAGCTCTGACTTGTTACTCTGATTCGTTTTGCTCTGACCTGTTACTCTGTAACTTGTTACATTCTGACTTGTTACTCTAACTTGTTAAGCTCTGACTTGTTACTCTCTGATTCGTTTAGCTCTGACTTGTTACTCTGTAACTTGTAACCTTCTGGCTTGTTACTCTGTAACTTGTTACATTCTTACTTGTTACTCTGTCACTTGTTAAGCTTTCACTTGTTACTCTGATTCATTTAGCTCTGACCTGTTACTCTGTAACTTGTTACATTCTGACCTGTTACTCTGTAACTTGTTACATTCTGACTTGTTACTCTGTAACTTGTTACATTCCGACTTGTTACTCTGTAACTTGTTACAGTCTGACTTGTTACTCTGTAACTTGTTACATTCTGACTTGTTACTCTGTAACTTGTTACAGTCTGACTTGTTACACTGTAACTTGTTAAGCTCTGACTTGTTATGCAAATTTTGACTCTCATTTCGAATGTTTTGTGCAGAATTGTTCTACAGAATCTCAGGATCGTGTTCTGAGGATGTACGGAGGCGGTTCCTGTGGGTTCTGCTTCTGGGTCTCTTCTAGGAGTTCTGAGAACTTTTAAAGCAAGAGAAAGTTCTGGAAATTCTGGTGTAGATTTGTTTTCAGATGCTGGTAAAACGCCTGCATCAGCAGATCGAGTTACAGCTAAGGGTGTGTGTGTGTGTGTGTGTGTGTGCGTGTGTGTGCGTGTGTGTGCGTGTGCGTGTGCGTGTGTGTGTGTGCGTGTGTGTGCGTGTGCGTGTGTGTGTGTGCGTGTGTGTGCGTGTGTGTGATGCAGGTGAAAACAGCCCTGACACCTAAATCTTGTTTCAACAGAACACACTTGGGGCTGCTCCGATGCTCGTGTCTGACAAACATTTTACGGAGAGGAATTTCACCTTCAGGTCCGGTTCCAGGAACCGGATCAGGGTCTGTGTTGAACCCGGGTCAAAGCAGCTCAGAAACTCAAGGAGACGTTTGTGTTTCTCAACCAGACCAGAATAAAAAAACAGGGGCCTCATTTATGCAGCTTGCTTACGCACAAAGCAGGGTCTGACAGTTGCGTAAGTCGTATTCTTGTGGATTATAGGAAAAAGGTGACAGGTGGGCTGATTGTTTGATAGGATTAACAAAACATGATATTTCCTGCCTGAAGCCCGTTTAGGTCAGAATAAACGTTCCCCTTGGATCGGGAATATCTCGGTCATCCCTGAGCACTACGATGCAGCCGTTTGGACGGCGTCATTAAATCAGCTGTTGCCATCTTCAGATCTTCTTCATGTTTGCCACAGATCTCTGCATCTGCCACACCTACAGCTCACCGCCACTCAAAGGCCATAAAACACTCATCCATGTCTTCACCTCACCTACGAGTACTTCAGTCTCCGTAAAACAGCGTTTCCGAGACCCGCTGGCTGCCCGGTTCGTCGTGAAAGGCCAAAGGTCAGCTGGCTAATGTGTATGCAGAATATTCATGAGGTGCGTAGCGTCGGCCTTGAGTGTGACTTAAAAACTAGGAATTGCATGCAGCTGTTTGTACCCAGGACCCTAAGATGACACAAGCACGAGTACGCTTTTATCAACACGGCACCTGCTCAGTAACACCCGACCCAAACAGAACCTTCATCTGAGGTCCAACCTTTTGGAGCTGATTGAATTCATGTGACTGGAGATGATTTCTGTTCTTATCGGATCTGACAACATCCTGCTTTGCATTCAGTTGCTTTTATCTGTCTGCTATGAGGACGGACCGGTCCACTCTGCCTCTTGCTGGCCCGCCGGGTTCTGTCTGGTTCTCTCAGTTCGGGTTAGTCTTTTATGTTCTCTATGGATGACTTTCAAACGTTTGGCCGGATGAATCAAGCAAACGTTTTTATTGTTTTGAGAAACGGATCGGTTCCGTCTTTGTGGATCTCAGGAATTACCAGTTCTGGTTCTGGTTCTGGTTCTTGTCGGTCTGTTTATGAAAAGCAAATATAAAAATGATGGTTGGATTTTCTGGGAGATTCTTTGAAAGAAAAATAGATTCTGACCCAGTTTTACTGGAATGTTTCTGGCAGGTTCTGGTGTGAATCCGACAGCATAACAGAACCAAGGACGTTTGATTTATTCACCTCCAGGCGACTTTCAGGTTAAGAATCGGCTCTCTAATAAACAGACGTTTATGTTGCTGTAACCCACGTTTGACCTTCAGGTTCTGAGAAAGAAGCAGCGGCAGCGTGACCCGTTCAGCCTGGAGCGATGACGGACCAGGTCGGCGTTCCTGGGAGGAATTCAGTCCCTGAGCCATGTGTTTGATTAATCCATGCTCACGTTACCTGCTCGGACCAGCACCAGCAGCTCTGCAGGTTTCTGCTTACGTGTTCCTGCGCGATACGGAGAAAAGCTGAAATCTAAAACAGGAAGTCCACTTCAGAGACTCCCAAAGCGCCAAAAACCCAGAATGTGGGTTTCCGAGACCAAAGAGAGCCCAAAAAAGACTTGACTCATCAAAAAGGAAGACCCAAGCGCGGGAGACCTTCAGACTGACGGGTTCAAAGCTCTGCTCCGCTGTTCTGAAATCAAGTTCAGACCCAGAACTCCCTGAACCCTCAAACGGGTTTCTGACTCGTTAGGATGAGTTTATTGCCTCACCCTGAAGCCAGTGCTCGTGTGGAATCTGGATGACGATTAATTAATCGAGGATTAGTCAGTAGAACCCTACGTAGAAAGCTGGACCTGAAGACATGAAAAGCTTCAGAACTCGGTGAAACACATTTATACCAGCTGTGCCTGCAGGCTGCAAACCGGGCAATCCTAAGATTATTACAAGTTCTGCTTTGGGATCCATGGAGGAAATCAGTATTGCCGTAGGAAAACATCAGATGATTCCCAGATGAGCTGATGATGTCATGAAAAATGGAACCCGTTTTTAAAAGTTCTAAGCTTTAATTCGTCAGCAAACACCCAAAGATGCTCAGATGCAGAACCATTCGATCTAGAGCTGCACAATATATCGTAAATATATCGTTATCGCGATATCAACATGTGCAATATACATATCGCAAAGAACAGATAAACATCGCAATGAATGGTCAGCTCAAACTTTTGCTACACATAACGCATTCTGTCAATCAAATGAAAGCTTTATGTTTTTTTAACAAATCAAACAGAGCTCTTCACCCATTTGGCCAATTGGATTAGTTCTCATAGGTTAGATGCCCGCCCCCGAGGCAGACGCACTTCATTTAGATAGTTAGCAAACACCCGAGTTAGCCTTGTTCTGCTCTTTTAGCTGATTCTGCTTTTCCGGGGATCCACTGATCGCCTTTTCTTGTTTATTCTCTTGCTTTTCTTATTTTTATGACTTTTATTTCTTTGTTTTTGATTATTTTTGTTCCCGAGTTAAAGGGACATTATGGAAGTGTGACAGCCAAAACATGTATAGAAATAATAATTTTCTTCTTCATACATTCTCCTGCAATGCCCTGGTCCTGTAGAATTAATTACTTTATTATAATCCTATAGAATATAATAAGTAATATTACTTTAAATGTTTCCACTAGGACTGATCTCACATAGCATTAAGAGACGACACATTGCTTTACTGATCCAATCAGAATCTGCCAGATCTGATGGAGGCGTGGTTTCGGTGGTGTTTGGTAAATCTGTCATCTTTTCATTCAACCATAAACCAAAACCTCCGAAGTATAAAACTATGCCCACGTCATCTTAACGCCAGTTCTAAGCGTTCTAGAGAAGTTGTCGGAGTGGCCAATCCGTAACTTTCCTCTTCAGCCGAAAGAACCAACGACAAGCTGGATAAAATCTGTTGCTGTTCCACCTGCTGCAACGGTTCCTTTCAGAATAAAAGCTGAACCATCACGACCCAGGTTTGGGTCTCGCCAGACGCCAACAAAATTGTCGTGACCCGGGAGTATCTCAAAGACTGGTCTGGTCGGCAACCGCTGCTTTTCCTACCGGCTTCGGTTCCAGAGAGGGTAAAGTCAGACCTCGACATTCCTGATCTAACGGGGGCTTCCACCAGGGTATGTAGGCCGACAAATGGCCTCTCATGTGTTTATGAATCTCCTAACCAAAGCTTAACGCGAAGACATCACTTTCATTTCCCATCAGAACTAATCGTTTCTTCGGATTTGCTGGTTCTGAGCAACATTCCACATCACACCATTCTCCGTCTCGTTCACCTTAGTTACACCATACATTTAGTGTTTAAGTTAGTCTAGTTTCATTTGTTTAGTAATAAATCTTTAAACTTTTAGACTTGACTCTCTCTTCTGTTGTCTCTGAGTGAATACGAAGCTGTTATCTAATCCCTGCAATAAAAAGTTCCAATCTTCTGGTTAAAATAACCTCACAGATCCATAAGTTTGATTTCATATTTCCTATGGAATCCTACGTCTTATGGCTCATTAAATAAAACGTAATCAGACAATGCCATACACCATAGAAGAAGAAGAATACATCTCTTTCGGAAATAAACGATTTCAGTACCTCTGTCTCCTCATGTCTCCAAATAAAGCCCAAATCTAGATTGTCTCCAAAGTGGATGCTGTTTCTAACGAGCGCTGTTCCTGTGCTAAACCTGCCCTTTGTCTCTCTTGGATACATTTTAAACCAGACTAAGAACCCTTGAGACGGATTCCCTGTGTTGTACCTGCCTTCTGTAATTTTGTAC